TTAGCCATTCGCAAAACTCAATTCGTCTTGGGAGGTCCCCCGGTTGCATCGAATGCACATTATGGAATGAAAATGGACGATAATGGTAGTTTTTCAGGATTTTATGGATGCAACTAATATTTAATCCTAAAGCAATTTCCGCGTCTCTCAACGAATTAGTGGGGTACGCCGTGAAATATCCAAGCACGTTAGCAATATTATCCTCATTTTCAGCAATAGGTCTTACTCTAGGTATTTGTTTCGGGGGTACAAAACTTCCAAAATTCAAACAATTTCGTTCCAGTGTTCGAATGGTATGATCACTAGGACGTGGTCTGTCTGGATATCGCTCAATGAATGTACGGCAAGCACGTGCCGCGATTCTGTCCATTTCACCATAAATCACAACTAAATTCCAAAAATCTTCATTGGTGAAACCACTGCGAGCCATTTTTCGATTACTCAAACACTTATGTTAACTTATAACAGGTGACCGATTAGTGTCACTAGATTTGTTTAAAATTCGATTGTTATAAAATCATGGCCGACTACTAAAAAGAAAATTTAAAAAAAATGTTATCAATTCAATGAAATGGAAATAAGTCAGAAATTGTTAAAGATAGGTATAGGAACATGTAATATCAAAATATGCCAATTTTGATTCTCTATCAAATTGAGTAGTAAGAAAATAGGCATTTCATTTAAAAAAACTGACTTTTTATTGTTTGAAATTTCTTAAATTTGGATCTCCATAGGTGCGGTCTTGCGCAACTTAACTTTTTTTAAAGTACACTAAAAGAAAGCCCTATTCTTTCTCTATGCACTGGCAAAAATGGGTTGCCATAACTACAACCGTTTTTAAGTAATCAATTTTCAAGGTACCGTCTGCACCCACCATTTTTTCCCTTAAAGTCAAAATATCTGAAAAACCATAAATTGTAGATATTGATATGGGGGTATCAAAAGAACTGAAATTTCACGTAGAATCCAAAAATGCAATAAAAAAATAGGGGTTTCCATTTAAAATAATGAACTTACTAGCCACTTCCGGTATTTCCGGAAGTGCCACCATTTTGAAAATATTTTACATCGATTGGGCCTTCAGAGTAACCCCTAGGTACAAATTTTCAAAAACCTACCTTTTTTACTTTCCCAGAAACGTTTAACTAAAGCTCCCAAAAAAACACCCTGTATAATGTCATTTCAATCCTATCCTTAAACAGTAAATAACCATCAAAGATAACCATTTAAATTAATCATCTGTCCTTGAGGAGATGCCAAATTTCCCTATTCCCCTACAGTTTACACATGCTCTGCAACACTCTAAAACCGTTGTCGGGTTTTAGCGCATTTCAAATGCGCGTAGTTGGTGGCCACTTTGTACGTCGCGCCTCGTTATTGACAGTACTACTAGTTTTTTATCTTAAGAGCATTGTTCTACTTTTTTTTTTCGCTATTTGGTTC